AAAATAGATTTTTTAAAAAAATATAATAATCTGCAATTTTGCATATGTCTAGAACTCAAGATAAGGCTTTTGCTCTCTTGGTTTGCTTTGATTCTTCCCCAACTTTTGATGTGTTTAATACAGTTTATTCATCATGATAAGCTACTCGTGATAAGCATCAAATTGATATGAGAAATGACTTCACTTGAGAATGAACTTCTAATCATTTTGTTTGAACTTCTATTTGGTATTTTGATTAGTGTGCTTGGATGGTTCATTTGGGACATGATGATGTTTAAAATTTTTTGCTATGTTTACTTTTTTGTTGTTGTTTTGAATGATTTTTTTTCTATGTTTTGAAAAAATGCATTGATCACTTCATCTCTGAATGGAAAATTTTCAATTTTTAAATACGCCTCTTAACCCGTTGGGTCAACCCGAACCCGATAGCTCTGGGTCAAGAACAAGCATCCTTAGACCCGAACCCGAAGTGACCCGAACCCGATGTGACCGAACCCGAACCCGACCTGACTGACCGTTTTGCCAGGTCTATTTATATTTGTACGAGAATGAGTACTACTTCTTTATTTCAGAATAAGTACTACCGGGATGTACCTATTTCTAGGTACATCCGGATGTACTATATACCAACTCATGTTTTCTTTAATTTATTCTTATTATCTATTACATTTTTTATTAGAATAAATTAGACTAGATCATATCAGAAATAACTTAAAATATATAACTACATTCAGATCAAATCAGATCAGATTAGATCAGAGCTTATTTCAATTAAATTAGAATCATTTAGATAAAGTGAAAAGAACATGGCCTAAATCCACTTCATTTGTGCGAAATGAATAAATTAATCCTTAAATGTTGGATAACATCTAATATCCTTTTATTCGTTACTAATTTTTACCCCGTGCTCGGCACGGACTCAAATATTTTTCTGAAAAATATATCTATAAAATTATTATTATATTAAAATATAAACCTAAATTAAATAAAAAAGTGAATTACAATTAAAGTTGTTCTATCGCATTGCTTATTGATAGAATAAATATATAAATATTATACACGCATGTACATAAGAAGGATAAAACATTAACTATTTGTAAATAACTTACATAGACATTTTATTTTTGGATATATCATGGTATGCATGGGGATGATGTGTTTATTATTTTCCTCTATAACTCTTATTATTTTACACTTCAATAATCAAATTTATCATTTTGATAGAAAACTTTATTTAAAATTTTAAAGGAAAGTTTGAATTTTTAATACAAATTTTAGACAACTTTTTATACACTGAAATCTTACTCTTTATAATCTAAACTTTCATATTTATTATACTTATTTTACTATTATTTTATATAAATATTTTTAATGTCAATAACTTTAATATATTTGGAATTCATATAATCATTCACGCAATTTCACATCTAAAGTATTGAATAACTACATATTTCAACATAACTAAATACTCGACTTTTATATACTCCTTCCGTCCAGAAAAGAACTTCCCAATCTACGTTTTTTTGTCCGGAAATAAACTCCCCAGTATATTTTTTATCACACAAACTTCCAAAAATACCCCCACCCAATTACTCTCCTTTCTCTCCCCTCTATTCTCGTCTGGATCTAAGCCAGATCTGCCATTTTCTTCTTCTTCTCCCTTTCCCCCACGCCCGTTTATTCTTCTTGTCACTCTCTCTTCTTCTTCCTCCTCTTCCTACCCGTTCTTTCACCATCCACCTTCACGATTTTCTTCTTCTTTTCTTTCTCAATCACCATTCCTCTTCATTTTCTTCTTCTATTCTTTCTCGCACATTCTTTTTCTAGATCTATTCAGATCTTCTTCTTCTTCTTCTTCTTCTTCTTCTTCTTCTTCTTCTTCTTCTTCTTCTTCTTCTTCTTCTTCTTCTTCTTCTTCTTCTTCTTCTTCTTTTTCTTCTTCTTCTTCTT